GGCACCTGTGGTCCCAGCTACTTGGGAGGCTGAGGCAGGAAACTCACTTGAGCCCAGGAGTTGGAGGTTGTTGTGAGCTGTGATGCAACAGCACTCTACCCAGGGGGACAGCTGGAGGCTCTGTCTCAAAAAAAAAAAAATTCTAATGCTCCAGTTACGTTTGATTTCTTCAATTAAAAGAGATACAAGTTAACAAACATATCAGTATGTATCAGGTATTACAATTTTAATATAGTTCTTTTTTCTTTCTTAAAATATGTATACTTTTTTGGCCCCCTGTATTTAATATAGGCTTTAACAAGACCAGTCTGGTGGCTGGGAGGGCAGTGTATTGGAAAGGATGAGATTAAAGGTTGGGAGGCTGTTTGAGTGACATGGCCCCCCATGGCCCAACCAAGGGATGTCCATGCCCTGAATTAAGGGCGATGACATTGGGGATGTGGAGGGAGAAGCAGACTCTGAGATATCTGGAATATTTAAGAGTAATGAAATGTGAAGAGAGAGGGACATGAAGGAGACTTGGGAGACTATAGGCTTCTGCTTTGGGGAACTAGAGGGATGGAGAAGAATTGAAAGGGAAGGGCGTAAGTTCAGAAGCCATGGGCTAAGCCAGAAGAGCCTGCGGCTCATGGGGGAGGTGTCCTGGAGGCCACAGGGGACACCAGAAGGGGGCAGTGAAGTCAGAGATGGGGGTAAACGTTCAGAGCCAGCCTGTGGGTGGTCGTGGAAGTTGTCGGGAAGGGGGCTGGCGTAGGAGAATGGATAGAGGACAGAATGCCCCACCTTGAGCACACGTGCCAGGCACCCCAGCAGCCCCCAGAAGCACTCACAAGGAACTTGCAAATTTTGTTCACCGCCTGCTGCTGGTTGTCCCAGGGCTTCTGGCTGTAAGTTTTTTTTGGCAACTCCCAAGTCATGAAGCAAGAGCAGCGGAACAGGGTCTTCACGCACTTCTGAGGACGAACAGGACGAGATGATCAGAGCTGTGGAATTCCAGGACAGCCAGAATGTGTTCCAGAAAAAGTGTGTGAAAACGGGACTTGGAGACATCGTCTATTGCAGTGGTTCTCAACCTTCCTAATGCCGCAGCCCTTTAATACAGTTCCTGTGGGTCGCGACCCACAGGTTGAGAACCGCTGCTATTGAAAACAGACAAGTGAAGTTGGGCATTTTGAAGGGCAGTTCTTTTTTTTTTTTTTTTTTTTGCGACAGAGCCTCAAGCTGTCCCCCTGGGTAGAGTGCCGTGGCATTACAGCTCACAGCAACCTCCAACTCCTGGGCTCCAGCGAGTCTCCTGCCTCCGCCTCCCAAGTAGCTGGGACCACAGGCGCCCGCCACAACGCCTGGCCATTTTTTGGTTGCAGCCGTCATTGTTGTTTGGCGGGCCCGGACTGGGGATTCGAACCCGCCACCTTAGGTGTACGTGGCTGGCGCCTTAGCCGGTTGAGCTATAGGCGCCGAGCCTGAAGGGCAGTTCTGACGTGGATGCTCTTGGGAAACAGATGTAGCTAGACTTGAGTAAGGGCCCCGGGGGCGGATCCTGGCTTGGTCTCCATAAAGGAAGTGCAGCTGCAGCGCCCCGAGGGGAGGGCCGAGGCCCAGCGCCCGCCGCTCACCTGGCCCACCTTGGCATTGCCCTCCTGCATGATCAGCAGCAGCGGCACCAGGGTGCTGACCAGCTGCTCCTCCGTGGCCTGGGTGCGTGGTGACCGCAGCTTCTGAACCACCTTTCCATATAGGTTGATGCAGGAGGAACGCACGTCCTCTCGTGACTGGGGAAAAACGGAGGCTCGGGGGGCTCCCTCCTCTAGGAGGCCACTCGGTGGGGCTGGCATGCGGCCAGCGCTCCCCTCCCTCCAGCCTGGGTCTGGAGCTCTCTCCGCTCTTCCCAGCCAGGGCCCCCACTAACCTAAAAGGTGCCTTAGTGACGAGAAGATAAGTCCCTTCTCTGCTGGGACCAGTAAAAAAATATGCCCTCTCTTTGTGGACCAGGTGCTGTGTGACAGCCCTGTGGGGAGATGTGACCCCTCCCACTCTGTGGAGTCCTCACGTCACTGAAGTGTGGCAGCAGGACCTGCAGGATCTCCACGAAGACTGAGTTGTCCACCAGCTTCCGGTCCTGCCCTTTGAAGATGGTCTTGAGGTTGTGGACGGCTTCCACCACCAGCATTCCGTCCATGCCCTTCAGCCCTTTCACCATGGATGGCAGGAGGGCCTGCACCTTGGCAGCCTGCAGGACAGGGGTAGGAGGATGGGGTCTCTGCCTCTGAGTCACTGAAAGGAACCCCAAGCCCAATCCCCACCCCCAGGCCTCTGCTTATGCACCCGCTGCCTGACTGCCCTCAGCCACACTCACGCTGCTCCCAGAAACCCTCTTTGGTTTCACTGGCTCCTTCCTGGCCTAGAGACCCAAGGCCCTTTCCTGTCCATCCCCTTCCTTGCCTCTAGGTCGATGACTCCCTAGTCAGCTTTCTGAGTCTACATCCTGCCCCTTCCTCCCAGCTACATCAGGAGCTGCAACAGAGCCCGGCAGAGCAAAGAAAGCCCTTTACAACAATGCTAATAATGATGCACCAGAGTGCAGTGGCTCACACCTATAATCCCAGCACTCTGCGAGGCCCAGGCGGGAGGACTGCCTGAGCTCGGGAATTCAAGACCAACCCGAGTAAGAGCGAGACCCCATCTCTACTAAAATTAGAAAGATTAGCCAGGCGCAGTGGCAGGCACTGTAGTCCCAATACGTGGGGGTCTGAAAGAGGAGGAGTCTGAGGTTGCTGTGAGCCGGGCTGATGTCACAGCACTCTAGCCTGGGCAACAGAATGAGACATTGTCTCAAAAAAAAATGTTAACGAGGCATCAACAATCTGGGCCTCAGTTTCCTAATCCATAAAATAGGAATAATCACGGCCATCCTCTGCCCTCTTATGTATACCGCCTTTAGGGTCATTGTGAAGAACCTGGACTAGAAACCATTCAAAATGTATAAGACATGGGGAGGTTATTAAGGGATATCCACTTTACAGATGGGGCCAGTGAGGCTGGGATAGAACTAGTTTCCTGATTCCAGCTGCCAGAGTCTAAGAAACTGTGGTAGCCATACTATGTCCTTCCTCCAGCCCAGGGCTGGCCAGGCCAGGCCCTCCTCCACCCCTCTGCTCACCTTCTCAGCCCTGTGGGCCAGGATGCCCAGGCCCCGGATGGACAGCACCTTCATGATGGGGTCACGGTGGTTCAGGCCCTCAGCCATGCGCCCCAGAGAGTACTCCTCCGGGATACGGCGCACCTGCTCCATCTGGAGGAGCTGAGGGAGCAAGTGGGAATTACTGCCGGGCAAGGCAGCAACAGTTCCCTCTGTCCCACACACTGACAGTTTGCATTGGATAAACAGGCTCAGCCTCTGCCTGGAGCTTCAGACTTGAGAAACCAACTGTTTCCTGCCCATCAGCACCTCCTGGCCAAGCCGAGCAAGTCATTATCCATATGGGAGCCCCTCTAGCTCCACGTGACCCTTCCCTTCTGGCCCCTGCTGCCTCTGAGGCCCTATTCACAGCCACAGGCCCACCCTCCAGCACATTTTCTTACCACCAGCCAGATTCCAGCCAAGCTGCCCAGCGTCCCCTGAACTATCCTGCCATTTGATCCCTTCCGTGCTAATCTTTCAGGTGAGGGGCCCACCTCTACCATGACACCATCACCTGGCAGGGCTCTATCCAGACTCAGAACCTTAAAGCTACACTTGACATTGCCCCTGGCCTCATCAAGGCTGACTGGCTCCTTCTTCGGGGCCCCTGGGTGCCCTGTCCCCCTGTCCAACTGAGGGATTCCTTAGGGACAAAATTTGAGCTGTTCCTCCTTGGGTTGGGGTCACCAAACATGAGTGTGTGCTTAGGGAACACTTGATTGAGCTCAGGTCCAACAGGGAATTTGACTCCTTTCCTCCTCGGGAGTGTCCTTGTCCCTGTGCTCCCCATCACAGGGTTTGCAGCAGCAGCCTCCCATTATCCAGACCAAGACTGGGCATCGCTCTCACCTCCTTCCCATCCTCCTGCCCCCGCCCCTGGCAGCCTGCCTGCCTTCAATCGTGGCTGCACCATCCTCACCACGCACCCCTGTGCCCCTGCCTGGCTGCCACCACTGAGCCCACATGCCTGTATGACGGGAGGACAGAGCTGGGGAGAGGCAGGTCTGGAGAAGGATGTGTGTAGCTCACAGTGGCAGGCAGGGGAGCGGGGCTCCACACACAACCCAGACTCAGGCCTGCTTGCCCCGGGTTCTGGGCGCTAGAGATGCCGAAGAGTGATGAGAATCACCCAGCAGCATAGCTGACTCCCTGAGAGCACCCTGTGTGTGCCAGGCACTGTTCTAAGTTCTTTACATTCCATCCTCATCAAAACTCTGAAGTGGGCACTTTGTCACCTCCATATTACAGGGGAGGAAATGGAGGCCCAAGCCCTTGAGCAACTTGCCCAAGGTCGCAGCTCCCTTGAGGAGTTCATTGCCATCAGCGGAGGCAAACACACACACAATCCCAGCTTAGAGGGCTGTAGAGGACCGGGGAGGGACATCGGAGCAAACCAAACTGCCACAGCAAACCTAGCACAGCTGACTCTGACCAGGGGAGGGCACCTCTTCTGGAGAGGGGGGAGAAGACTAAACTCGGGTGAAGACTCTTGTTTCAGACAGGGAGGGCCACTGCTCAGGGCTCTCGGGCAGCTCCAGAGACAAGTTAAACCTCGGGTTCCAGACCTGGGATTGGCATGAGGATGAGATGACTCAGGTGTAAGCGCTCAGAGCGTGTCTGGAGATGTCACAGTGCCTACTGGGTAAGCACCAGCTGTCGGCACCAGTCCACCTCCCCTTCCAGGTCTGTCTCTACCCACCTCTCCTGACTCCTTTCTCCCCAGCACCTTCCCTCTCACATTCAGTTTAGATGTCTCCTCCTCCAGGAAGGCCTCCCTGGTGCCTTCCTCTCTCCAGTCTCCTCTTATCCCACTACAGCCTGGACTTCCCTACCATAGCACAAGTCTCTCTATGCAACCCCCAAGTTATAATTGGGGTGTCCTTCATCTCTCCTGCTACACCAAGGATTCCTTGAGGGCAGGGTGGAGTCAAACGCGTGTGAATGCACAGCTGGCCCACGGAGGTGCTCAGGAAGGCTAGTGGTTGCCCAGGGCACTAAGGGAGCCTGGGAAGAGAGGAGTGGGGTGAGGGTGGAGAGATGACAAGAGCAGGGAGGGAGCCCTATGAGGGCTTTCCAGTCAAGAGAAATCACGCTCAGGGAAGGGCCTTGCAAACTGTAAAGGACTGTTTGCATAGGAGAAATGACAGGGACGTGAGCCGAGGCACGAGGAACCCCCACCCTGTGCCCTGTGCCCACTGGTACCTCCACAAAGAAGGCGGTGGCAGTGATCTTGTGCTTCTCGTCGCCACGCTCCAGGAGCGGGATGAGCAGGTAGAGGACGCGGCATAGCTCCTGGCAGGAGTAGTGCACCATAGCCCTGCCGGGGGTGAGGTGGGGGAGCCCCTCAGGTTCTCAACCCGAGGGGCACCTGCAGGGTGGGGGCTTGGCCCTGACCCTAGATATCCCGGGCAAGCCAGGGTCACCTGGGTTTCTGCATTCCCACCTGAGGGGGATCAGAGAAGCCATCCAGTTTAACTGCATCCTTTTACAGATGGGGAAACTGAGACCCAGATTGGGAAAGCAAGGTGCCTGAAGCCACTGAGCATATCCCTACAGGAGACAAGCTGAAGAGCCCTGACTGCTCAAGACCACAGCGGGAGGCGGCGACAGGAAGGGGAGGGTGTGAAGGTCAGCTACGCCAGGCAGCAGCCAGATTCTGTCCTGTGTTTCCTCATTTGACCCTCACCATTACCTTCAAGACAGATTACCGTTACGATCCCCACTTCATAGATGAGGAAATAGAAGCTCCAAGTGTGAGCTGCTCAAGATCACAGAGCTAGTGAACGGCAGAGAGGGAACCCCAGCTAAGGGCTCCCCATTCCAGCTGCCTTGCTCATGCTGCTCAGCCAGGGGCTCTCAGAGTTTCCATCTCCACCCACCCAGCAGTGCCAGCATCCACTGGGAGCCTGTTAGTAGTGCACCACCCCAGACCTACTGAACCAGTGACTCTTAGGCCAGGGGCTGGGGGGCACACAGGTCCTGTAGGTGACTGCACACCTGGGACCACTGCACTATGCTCCATGAATCAGTGAATCCAGTGAAGTGTGGAGGGGGTACTCAGAGTCTGGAATGAGACAGCCTGGGTTTAAATCCTGGCCCCAGCACTAGCTGTGTGACTTCAAGCAAGTCACTGAACTTTTCTGGGCCTCAGTTTCCTTGTGTATGACACTGGAATGATAATAATACTGCTATTTCATTGGTCATAGCTATGATTAAATTGGGTCATCCAGGTAACACCTCTTAGCATGGTGCCTAGAGCATAGTAAGCACTCAATACATTCGGCTGGGATAGGGCATGGTGGCTCAAGCCCAACATTTTGAGAGGCCAGAACAGTAGAGTTCTTTGAGGCCAGAAGTTTGAGACCAGGCAACATAGTAAGACCCTGTCTCTACAAAAAATGAAAATTATCCAGGCGTGGCTGTACACCCTTGTAGACCCAGCTACTTGGAGAGCTGAGGAGAAAGGAAGGCTTAAGCCCAGGAGTTCTCGGTTACAGTGAGCTATGACAGGGTGACTGCACTCTAGCCTAGGTAATAGAGTGACACCCTGTCTTTACAAATACAGAAAATAAAAAACAAATAAGTAAATGCAGTTGTATCCTGAGAACCCTCGAGAGAGCACCATCCTTGCACTCAGAGAGCAGGGCTGAGAAGCAGGCTCTCCCACAAAAGGCACATTGTGGAAATCTGGGCGCCCCCTCCCCCTGCCCCAGGGGAGCCTGTGTGTTCAAGGGAAGAGCTCTGGGCTGGGTCAGCAGGTCATTTTTCAGCTCTGCCACCTCCTGCCCATGTGACTTAGGTCACTTCAGCACACTCTGGACTTGGCCATTCACCTATGCACCCAACACGTGCATCCGTAATCCCAGTCCTGCCAATGACTGTGACACTCAACTCCCTGTGCTGAGCGCTCACCATGGGCTGCTCAGGGCACGTTACTTAATCCTCACCACCCCCTCAGAGCTGGATCCTCCTGCAGAATTCCCACAGTAGTGTCATTTCCACACTGCTGAGGGAGAATGGACCCAGAGGGAAAGTAACCTGCTCTGGGTCACACTGCTGGGAAGTGGGGGGCTGGGGTACAGATGCAGATATTCAGTTTGCAGGGGCACACTCTCAGTAGTTACCCTGCTGTTTCTGTGTCAGGTAAGGGAAGGTACTTAGTAAATAACCTAAGTGCTAGGAACTGCCCCCCACCGCCAAGTTAGCCTGAAGAGTGAGCATGTGTCTGTTGTTAACACCTCCCAGCATAGGCAGGAGGTGATAGGCTGAGCAAAGGGGCTTGCTCAGAGGGATGTTCAAACCCAAGTCTGTCTGAATGAGACCCTAAGGCTTCCTGTCCCCCACTCCTCCCCCAGGTGTCCCAGGGCCTCACCTTGCCAGCAGGGACACTCCACGGTGGTGGTTCTCTGCCTGTCCCATGAGCTCCCAGCCACCCTGGTCCTCCAGAAAGGTGGCCTCGTAAGAGCAGCCCATCTTCAGCAGCAGGGTTTTCACCACTTTTACCACCCAGCTGCCAAGACAAGGCAGCTGAAACGCCGTGTCCACCTGGCCCGGGCAGGCCTCCCTGACCCTGGCCTCTCCCCCCATCAGCTGTCATCTCCTGTCCGCAGAGTTCATTGTTAAGTTAGCACTAGTCAGTGTATCTGCAAAGGGTAGCATTTTACAAATAATTAGTTTTGCAAACAAGAGAGGAAACAGAAGCAAAATTCACCTCCCTTTGAAGGTGCCTGGGCCTGGCAGGGTGTGGGCGTTTACTGACGACCTACTGTGCGCCTGACATCAGGCTCGGCGTTCACGGACTCAAATGTCTACATCTGTAATCAGACGAAGTTTTATAGTTTTGCATATATATTCCTTTACTAAAATTAAAACTGCTGATATGATAACAGAATTTACACTGAAACAAAGTTTCATTTGCTTAAGGAGCTCATGAAGCACTTTGTGGACATAACCTCAGATGTCTGAGGGCTACTGGTTCTCATGATGGAAGGCAAAGCATTTTAGAAATCAGATCATGCTCAGGAATTCGTTCTTAATTTTCATGTTTTTACTTTTGTAATGAATATCGATCCAGTGCAAACGTTAAAGCTTCTCCTGAGGCCAGAAGCTTTCAGAATCATTCAACCTCTGCGCTGATTCTTTGAAATATGTGTGGTCAGTGACAGTCCCCACCACAGTTCAAAGTTAACAAATGAGAGGAAGGGAGAGAGACGGGCCACTCCAAGTGTTGTCCTGGTCCTTTCTCCAGCCTCTTCTCTCTCCCCTGAAACTCTGAGCACAGGCAGAATGGCTCAGCTGAGGTTTATAGGTGTTCGCGTGGAGTAAAAGGACTACTCTTTTCTTTCTTTTTAATTATCAAAATCTCTTCATGTTGAGTGTTTCCCTTGACAAATATGTAGTGACCTTCCTTATCTTTCTTTATCTTTGTTGGTTTAAAGCCAATTGGATCTGCTACTAAAATCACAACCCCTACTTTTTTCTGGTTTCCATTTGCCTGTATTATACAACTCCATCCCTGAGTCTATGTTTATCCTTTAAGGTAAGGTAAGATTTTTGTAAACAGCAAACAGATATCCAGTCTGAGTTTGTGTATGCAGTCAGCCAGGCTGTGCCCCTTAGGAGGACAATTTAAACCATTCACATTAATTGAGAGAATTGATAAGCCTGGTTGTGTTTTGGGTGTCATCATTGTGGAAGTTGGGTTTTGTTCAAAACTTTCTGGGTGAATTTACTTTGGAGGTAGAGCATTGCACTGGTCATTGTGGAGGATGGGTCTGAGAATCTCCTGGAGAGCTGGTTTAGTTATGGCAAATTTCTTCAACATGTCTATGTCATTAAAGTATTTGATTTCTCCATCACAAATGAAACTCACTTTAGCTGGATACAGGATCCTGAGCTGGAAGTTGTTTTGTTTTAGGAGACTGAAGGTTGATGACCATCTTCTTCTGGCTTGAAACGTTTTGGCTGAGAGATCTGCAGTCATTCTGATATTTCTCCCTTTGTAGGTGATGCTTTTCTTACATCTGGCTGCTTGCAGAATTTTCTCCTTTGTCTTAACTTTGGCAAAGTTAACCACAATGTGTCTAGGAGATGCTTTATTTGTATTGAGTCTTGCTGGGGTTCTGAAACTGTCTCCTACTGAAGTTCTGTATCTCTTGCAATGGTTGGGAAATTCTCCTCCAAAATATCTTGGAGTAGAGCGTCTGTACCGTTAGGGCCATCCTCTTCTTCTTCTTCAGGAATTCCTATAAGATCAATGTTTGATCTTTTGGGGTGATCCTGCAACTTTCTCAGGAAATGATCAGTTTTTGCTTTCCATTTGTCTGCCTCTTTGAGTGTTTGGGAACGTTCAGAACTTTTGTCTTCAGTTTCAGAGATCCTTTCTTCTGCCTGGTCAACTCTATTACTGAGGTATTCTACTATATTTTGGAGTTCCTCAACTAACTTTTTCATTTCCTTGAGCTCTGCTATCTCTTTTCTCATTATGTCCATATCTTTGGTGACTTGTGCTTTGAATTCATTAATTTCTTAAGACAACTTTAGAACTGCTCTTTACTATCATTTCTTCCATTCTATTGATCTTATTTGCAATCCATATCCTGAATTTGACTTCTGACATTGCTGCCATTTGTCTATACATGGCATCTTCAGTTGTATCTCCCTTATCATTTCTTGGCAGGGGGAGATTAATCTAGTCCGGTTATTCATGTTGTCAGAGTTCTTCTGTTGGATCCACACCATGTTTATTTTCCACCATTTGGTTATTAGAACTGGTAGAGGGAGACTGAATTGGGGTTCCCAGGTAGTAGAGATAGCCTCTTACCAAAGCGCTAGGCTTTATAATTGTGGCTTATCTCCTATACTCTTACAAAGTTCCCTTTCAGAGTTTTGGCTGAGGACCTACTTGGTGAGATTGCACAAGCTAGCTCTGTTTTGATATTAACCAACCTCTACCCTATCTGAAGAAGCCACAGTATTAGGTTTAAATCTTGACTGTGAAGAGATACAAATAGCTGCAGCACCCAGCCCCCATCCTTCACTTTTTTCCCCTACAGAAACTCAAAGGTCAACCTCAGGGTCAACCACTGTCCCCAAGTGGACAGCTCCAGACACAGGTTCTAATTAAATTGTCTCAGGCAGTGCAAGCTCTGCTCAACAGAGAGGGGTTCAAGGGCCTCCAGCAGCACAAATGGAACCAGGGATCCACACCCCTGCACACCAGACTCAGTCCACACTATTGTCCACTTCTTTGCTCACAGGCCAAGTTGGAGCCAGGGGCCATGCCCCTGCCCACCAGTCTCAGTCCACACCCAGCTAGCCTCTGCTTGCCAGACCAGCTGGAGTCAGGGGACCATGCCCCTAGCTGCCAGTCTCAGTCCACTGTCTGGCAAGCCTCTGTTCGCAGGCTCTGTTAGAGTCAGGGTATCACACCCCACCCATAAGTCTCAGTCCTCACCCAGTAAGCCTCTGCTCACCAGCCCCGCTGGAGATAGTGGACCATGTCCTAGCCCTCAGGTCTTGGTTCATACCCAGCAAGCAACTGCTCAAGGGTTCTGTTAGAATCATGGGACCATGCCCTTGCTCTCAGGTCTCAATCCACACCTAGCAAGCCTCTGCTCACAGACCCAGCAGGGGCTGGGGACCAGCCCTGTCTGCCAAACTCAGTCCACACAGGGCATCACTCTCCTGCTGTGTGTGCTGTCAGAGCCGAGGGGTCCGGACTCTGTCCCGCCAGACACAGCCTAAACCGAGGGTCAACACTGTCACTGGCCAGGCATAGTCATAATCAGGGGACTGCTCCTCCTCCCACTGAGTGTCCCTTTCTTACCACACCCTCTTTCTTCCCTGTTAGTCACAGATCCATCCTGATAGTTGGCAGTCCACACTATGCCCAGATCTCTCAGGACAAGACCAAACACTCTGTGCTCTGCAGGGGGCAGAACTTCAGACTGCCATACGAGGGGGAAGGGTGGACTGGGAGTTTGGACTTGTGGGGGAAAATATCTGTTCAATTTTATGCCCATCAGGGTGGTATCTAGGTTCATAAGTGGGATCTTCCTGGAGAAAGAGACCTGGAGTTTAGCGGCTCCCTCCAGTGATATAAAATGAGAGGTTTTTTGTTCCCTGCTCGTTTGCAGATAGCCTGCAGCAAGCCTCCTGCTCTAGTTTCCCATCTTCTAGTCGATAGGCTTTATTCCTGAAATTTGTTTTCTTGAATGCTCTTCCTTGGAGTTACTGCTTGCTGAACTTCTTTCTTAGCTCAGCTCCCCACCTTTGGCTTTACAGAGTCCTATTCTGTCCAGTTTTTCTTCCTCTGCTCAAGAGCCTCTGCTGAGGGTTGCTACCAGTCCGCCATCTTCCCAGAATTCCTCTCCACTCCATTTTAATCATCACTCCGTGGTCCAGAAGTTTTCCATCACATATTCCTGTGCCACCGTAACACTTAAATGCAGAAGCCCTTTGATATGCCTGTTTGTTCTACTTGTAGGAATTCATCCTCCATTTAAAATCTCATGTGTACTCACAGACATAAACAGACACGTTGCAGCATTGTAATTGCAAAGGGCTAGGATGAATTTAAATCAGGAAGAGCACGGTTAAATAAATCTTTCTTGGTGCGCTGGAATGCTATACATAGGGATACTATGCGGCTGTTAAAAATAACTAGACAGCTGTCTATGTTATGATTTCCAAGACACAGTATGTTATAAAAGCAAAAAAAAGAATGCAACTGTGTGAGGTATGCTACTACTGGTGTAAAAATAGAGAATATGAACAAATGTGCTTATCCTTGCACGTCTGTGGTTATCTCTAGAAGGGCCTGAAAGAGTTTGGCTGTCTTCCGGGAAAGGAGCAAGGCAGGGCTGGAAAGGTTTGCTTTAACTGTCTCTGTGTGCCTACGTTACCTATTCTAGTTAATATGTAAAATGTCTAAAATGGTTGGGCCTTTGATACCAACCTCATCCAAATGATATCTCTAGGAAGGGAGGAAGAGAACTTAAGCAGTGAGCTCCATGAGGGAGGGCTGATTCCTTCCTGTGGTCCGGCACTGCGCAGAGTCTAATGCACAGAGCTGAGACTCAAAAACAGGTGTTGAATGAATCGTTGGCTCTGATGAAAGTGTGCTTTCCTCTCCCAGAGCTAATTCCTACCGATTACTGGCTCTAAAGACTTCGCAGGGGTTCCCAGGGTGGCAGAGCATACCGCACAGGTACGAAGGCAGGGGGCGGGGCGTCCTTCTTGGCGTCCTTGCGAGGAGCCACACGGCCAGGCAGGTTGAGGCCAATGTGGTAATGGACCTGGATGAGCAGGGCCAGGAGCAGCTGCGGGTAGATGCGCCTCACTCGGCCCACGCAACTGTTGACGGACAGGAGCTCGCACAGGCCGCTGGCTGCCTGGGGGCAGAGGGGAGGCTGATGGGGTGTCCTGGCCCATCTTCCCAGCACTCTGGGTTGGGCCCTGGACTGCTTCCCTGCTTTTCTCTGGCCCAGCCCAGGAAAACCCGATCCTCACCCCCGCCCCAGACTCCTGGCTTTCCGAGGTTTGTGGAGAGCCAACAAAGATTGGAAGAATTCTTCCAGAATACTGGAAGAATCACTGGAAAGATACCATCCACCTGCTGAGGAGGAAAGAGGCTTGACCCCTTTTTGCAAATGAGGAGACAGATTCAGAGGGGCAAGCCACTTGCCTAAGGCCACTCAGCCCCTTGAGGGCAGAGCCAGACCTTTCAGATACCAATTGTCACATGTTCTGCCTCTTCTTCATTCATGGCACAGGCACACAGAATGGGAGGGGGCACCAGGCTGACCTCTTCACCCTGGGCCATTCACTCAGCCTCCTGCAGGAACCTGACTTCGGTCCTAGCCCTGACCCCCTGGGGCAGTTTCTCCACCTGCCAGTCCAGCTCTGGCCCTGGCCTAGGCCCACCCTCACATTTAGCCCGACAAGTTCTCTCTAACTGGCAGGTAAGCGACGGAGGCTAAGGGGGCTCACAGCACCTGACGACTCATCTGGCTGCTCCACTCCCTGTCCTCTCTTTGGGCCTCAGATTCCTCTTCTGAAAAGTGGGGTCACTAATCCTCACCCAGACAGCCTCACAGCCAGGGGTATAAAGATTCAATGAGCACGTGGAGGGGAGGATGTTTTATAAAGAAATGCCACAAGCTGTGCCACTGAGGCCCCACGCAGCTGGGCCAGGAGGAAAGGCTTTAACTGCGAAGGGGAAAGAACCCCTGGCACGTTCCCTTAGAGACAAGTGAGCTAATGTGGCAGGAATGAGAACAGTAACAGCAGTTGACTTGGACTGGGGGGGAGCTAAGGAAGCCCGCACACCCCCTACTTCCCTCTTCTCCGTGGGTAAGATACCAAGGCTTAGTGATCAACCACCGTTGAGGTGGTGGTAGAGCTAAGACCAGCCTTTGGGACTCAAAGCCCTTGCACTTTTCAGTAACCCAAACCAAGTGGTTGTATTCAAAGAACACAGCCTGCTGTGCAGGGAAAAGTCCCTGGTGATGTGCCATAGGCTATGCCCTTGGCTCTGACTACTCCATCTATCAGCAAGGAAGATAAAAACTAGCCCAGGCTGCAGCTCTGCAAACAATGCTTGCTGAACAAGAAGCACGAGTGGGTGACTTTAGAGTACACAGTCACCCTGGACGAGCAGATGAATGCCCAAACTGGAAAGAATGAGTGCTGGCAGCTTATGAAGAGAACTCGAGGCTGGGGGACAGAGGCCAAGAGATAGGATAGTGAAGCCCAAGATATCCAGGAAGGAGCTCTGGGTTTGAATCCTGACGCTGCCACTTGCTAGCTGTGTGACCTGGGGTAAGACACGGAATGGCTCCAAGCAGCAGCGTGCTCCTCGATGAATGGGGTAACACCCCTCATTCCCCGGCCACTCTTTGTTTACTTACTTCCCTTCACCAGAATATCTTGCTGCTAAATCCCCAGAACCTCTGAGTGTGACTAGCACATACCATGTTTCCCCGAAAATAAGACACTGTCTTATATGTATTTTTTCTCAAGAAGACACACTAGGGCTTATTTTCAGGGGATGTCTTATTTTTATTAAGTATAATACAACAATCTACATTTATTCAAATATAGTTAAGTCATCTTCTTCTGGAACCTGACAGGGGAGCCGACCTTGTTGGTGGGGCTGGCACTAGTGATGTGTGAGCTCCTTTCCCCTAGCTGTTCGCACGTGCGTAATAGGATGCCTGTGACCGCAGCTACTATGGCTGGGAGAAAGGAGCTGTGGCAGATAAAAGGTTTTCCAATCTTCCTTACCGCTCTGCACCAAAATGCTGCGTAGCCACACCCATCACTAGGTCTTATTATCAGGGTAGGGCTTATATTTAACAAATGCATAGAAATCCTGCTAGGGCTTATTTTGGGGGTAGGTCTTATTTGGGAGGAAACACGGTAGTAGCTGCTTAATAAATATTTGTCAAATAAACAAAAAATGTTGAGTGCCTCCCATGTGCCAGGTGTGTGCTAGATGTTGGAGTTGTCATGGTGAGAGAAACAGGATGGGCGCTCTCTGTGCATCTCACGGATGAACCAAATAATCCCCCACACTACTGTCAAACCATAACCGGGGTAAACTCTTCCAAGACTAAGGTGTGTGAAGCAAAGCATAGTATGCACAGATTTGACCTGGTCAGGGAAATCAGGGAGGGCTTCTCTGAAGAGGGGATGCTGAGGATGAGTAGAAAGAAGTCAGCTTACAGAGCGTTTTAGATAGAGAAGCAGCATGTGCAAAGGCCTGTGACAAGGTAGCATGTGACTAGTTCTGGCAAAGATCCGTGAGGCTGGAGCACAGGAGCGAGAGGACCATGGGGTGTGGTGAGGCCAGCAGGAGTGCAGGGCCTCACAGCACAGGCAGGAGCACTGTGTCACTCCTGAGGGCAACCAGAGGCCATGGAGGCGGGTGAGAAGAGGAGACACCCATTTCTCAGAGATTTTTTTGGCTGCAACTAGACCTACATATTGAAAGGGTAAAAGTGGACACAGGGAGGTAAGCAGGGGTATTATCCAGCTGGCGCGGACCCGGGTGGTGGTGACAAGAAGCACAGAGAAACCTGTCTCTGCAGCCCAGCCAGCTCCCTGAGCCAAACCTGCCTTTTCTTCCGCATTCCCAGGGCCAAGCTGAGCTGGGCAGTAAGAAGCCCATGATCATTTTCTGTCACCTAACTGAATATTGTCCTTTCATTTAATCATCACAGCTGCCATGTAAGACAGATATCATAATTTCTATCTTTGTATGTAGAGACCGAGCCACGTGGAGGTGAAGTGCCTTACCCAGGTCACAAAGTAGTAATGTACCAAAACCACTGGTGTAGGATTTAGGCTAAGTTCTGTATCTCTGAGTCATTCCAGTTCCACTATCCCCAGCTGTGCATTGGCCACAGGCAGCCAGGCTGTTATTGTCCAGTGGGTCACAAGAGCCAGGGACAGAGACTCACCCACGGCCACCCAACTGACAGTGTGCTGAGTGCAGCAGGTGGGAGGAAGGGCTGGAGGAAACTGGAGGATGGCGATGGGGCAGGCAGGCGGGGTGCTCACCGCTAGGGGCACAATGGAGGCCCGCCCTTTCTTGGTGACAGGCTTCTCCTTCAGGCTGGTCAGGAGCAGATCCAGGAGGTCTCGGACATCACAGCTGGGCTTGCGCAGTATCAGCTGCCTCCACATCTCTGCTCCGTTGCTGAGAGAGCAGGGAGGGGAGGATTAGTGGTGGTCAGGGCAGTGAGGCCATCCCCCTCCAAGGGGTTCCAGAAGGGAGAAGGCATGGTCTGGAAAATACTCCTGGAGAGGCAGGAGGCTAAAAAGATTAAAACCCTGTTTCCTGGCTCAGCACCCATAGTTCAGTGAGTAGGGCGCCAGCCACGTACACTGAGGCTGGCGGGTTTGAGCCTAGCCAGGCCAGGGCCTGCTAAACAGCAATGACTATTGCAACAACAACAAAAAAATAGCCAGGCACTGTGGTGGGCGCCTGTAGTCCCAGCTACTTGGTAAGCTTAGGTAAGAGAATAGTTTAAGCCTAAGATTGGAGGTTGCTGTGAGCTGTGATGCCACAGCACTCTACCCAGGGCCACAGCTTGAGACTCTGTCTCAAAAAAAAAAAAAGGCTGGGAGAGGTGGCTCACACCTGTAATTCTAGCAGTGTAGCATTGTGGGAGGCTGAGGTGGGTAGATCGCCTGAGCTCATGAGTTTGAGATTAGCCCAAGCTAGAGCAAGACCCTGTCTCTAAAACCTAGCCACTGTTGTGGCAGGTGCCTGTAGTGATCACTTAAGTCCAAGAGTTTAAGGTTGCTGTGAGCTATGATGCCACCGCACTTTACCAAGGGTGACCAAGTGAGACACTGTCTCAAAAAAAAAAAAAAAAAAAAGATGTGGCCAGGTCAGATATCTCTGAAGCCTGTTCTAGTTCCTCCAGACAAGGACCAAGAATTGAGATAGCTGAGCCCTTTGGGCTAGGATCTTTCTTACACTTGTCACATAATATCAGGGAACACTGCTCCTGTCCCTTAGAAGGCAGCCCATCAGCCAGGGGAAGCATCTGTGCCCGACCAATCACCAGACTGCAGATGCTTGTACCATGGGGTGCTGAGAGCACTGACAGGCCAGTGCGCTAAGGGTTAACAAAACCTTTCCCCCTTCTGCAGGAGGTTTTGGGCTTTCCATTCACTTTCTAGTTCTGTTCCCCTGGAAACCTGGTAAAGATAGTATGTTAACTATCTATGTTTCCAGGCAACATTGTTTATGGTAAAAATGACCCGATTGGTAAATCACATCTGGATTGGGAAAAACTATAAATTAACTATAAGAACCGATGGGGTGGGGTGCTGAGGCAATGAGCTTCCCAGGGTGTCGTGGGCTTGTTCCAGTGGGATCCCTGGAAGTGAAGCTTATAGAGTTATTGTAAGAAATACTGATCCCTGAACCACTTATAGGGTGGTCTGGCACCCACCCTGTGGGTCTCCTCTCCTCACACCTGAGCTTTCACCTGGGAGGCCCAACAGACCAGCTCCCAGCCTCAGGGCCAAATTAGGATAAGGACAATAAACTGTCCAGGGTGCAGGATCTACGAGTCCTCACTCTTGGGCTTACTCGAGTGCAGACTTGGCACCTGAGGGCACCTCCTGAAATGCTGTCCCTGTCTGGTCTGGTGCAGGGGCTGCCACAAGGCCTCCTGCACACAGAAGACTGTCCTGCATCCTGAGTGACTCTGATGGCAAGTGTGGCCCCCCCGTAGTTTTGAGTCTGGCCTCAAGCAGAAAAGGCTCAGTTCTTCTAGGTGGGAGGATAGGATGTGTCCACTGGGCCTTGGCCACCCTGACTGATCTTGGTTTCTATGGATGACACAGCTATCCTTATGAGAGCACACCCCATCTGCACAGCCCTGCACGATTTCATTACGTGTTGACTCCAACAACCATCCTAAGGTGTGAATCATCCGCTGCCTCGTTTCAAAGGCATTCAAAGTAGGTATGTTGCTAGGCACGGTGAGATGAGTATATCCCTCGAGCTCAAGAGTTCTAGACCAGCCTGAGCAAAGTGAGACCCCGCCTCTACTAAAAATAGAAAAACTAGACTCTGCACTTGTAGCTCAGTGGCTAGGGTGCCAGCCACATACACCGGAGCTGGTGGGTTCCTATCCAACCTGGGCCTGCCAA